TGAGATCAACAACATTAGCATCGATCTACACAATTGGGATACAATGACATGTGCCAACCAAGTCAAACCAAGTCAAACCAAGTCATCAAGCCTGACTACCTTATCACCTTTTACGACAGGCATGGGCGGCGGAAGACCAATTCTAACCCGGATTTCCACGGGTAGGCCATTGTAGAACTGCCAGTACGCTCTTACACTTGGCATGTGTCTTCAATCGTTAGGTGCCTGACTCTGAGGCTGTGGGTTCGAATCCCCTATAGGACTCAGCCTAACAAAAGTACAAGAAGGCGCGGTGGCTGAGTGGCTGAGACGGCTGACTTTATGTACTGGCGTTAGACGCTAAGTGTGGGGTTCGAATCCGAGACAGGACTCAACCCTAAAGATACTAGAATCTGTACTTTCCTGAGAAAGTGTAATCCCCAAACATAACATCTGTTACATTCCACTTTCTAAATGGCATTGTGTATTTAAGGTAGGTATCTGGTTCAATACTGAGAAATTTATGGATAACAGCGTCTTTTTTGTGTACTCCTCAACTTCACAAATGTCATTCAGCGAAGATATCAGACTTTTGTGCATGATTTGCGAGTTTACTTTACAAACAGCGATACAATCCTAGCAATATAGCACAGCCTCTGGCCTCGTGTAACGATATATAGGATAGTGCATTTCTGACATTCGCGATATTGATCTGGAAATATTTAAGCAAATATAAAATGGCCTCTGACCTATACCCAATCCAACTTCTCGGTGAGAGATAGTGATCTGGACTTCATTCTACAAAACGACCTCAGCGCTACGACGACCGTGAGCCTATGTTAAAGTATGACTCACGACAACCTTAGCCCTGGGATCGTGTTGTAGAACGGAACCCAAAGACGACTCTAGCATTCGAGCCTACAGCTATACGCTCCTAGCACGCTAAAAACACACTACTCTTTGACAGTGAATTGAGGCGAGTTAAAACACCTTCAGCCCTTGTATCGCCTTACAATGTATACTGCATGAGGAGATGCCGAATAACAATGTGATTTATCCAAAATTCATCATTCATCACATATATTACCCCACAACATCACTGTCGGAAAATGGTTCTCCGATTTCGCTAAAAATTCTAAAATAATGAAACAAAACTGACATTCAACCTATTAGTCCGACTATGGCCGGTGATAACGCTTCCGAAATAACTCATGTTTCACCTCCTCCCTTACAGCATAGCTGCTGGTGAATCCTGGTCGTGGAAGCTACTGGTCTGGCGGCTGTGATTTGCGTGTATTGTGATGGTTCTATGCACTAGCTATAGTTTGGCATGAAATGCATGTGGACCCGTTTTTTTGTAAATATATCTTCATCCAATGACCCAATCGATCACAAACTGTGCAAGTGGATGTTTTGTCAGACAACCTAATCACATTGTAAATCACCGATTTTATGCATTTGTATTAAAGAATCTGTCTATGTAACTGTCAACAAAATAAACAGCAGACCGCAGACTGCTTCCAGAGGGAGGGAGCCAATGACCTGTAACAGCAGCAGTGTTGGGTCATAAAGGTAAATGCACGTGCAGTTCATGATAGTTCACATTGACTACTTCTAGCTGTCATCATGAAAGCTTATTCAGATGATGCTAAACGTTTAATTAGAAATGTGTTGATTGTTTTTAAAAAAGAGAGCAAACGTAGCAAACCGATTTATAAGGTGTCGGATTACATGAAACGTACAACTTTTGCTCTTGGCATGAAAAAGATGACCCTGATGTCAAAAGAATCTAACTTTGGATGCCTACCTTTTTGTACAGGGTTTTGTTTATTGGTTGTTGGTTTATTTTTCACAATTTTTAGCACGATGTTCTTTTTCATGCCAAGAGCAAAAGTTGTACGTTTCATGTAATCCGACACCTTATAAATCGGTTTGCTACGTTTGCTCTCTTTTTTAAAAACAATCAACACATTTCTAATTAAACGTTTAGCATCATCTGAATAAGCTTTCATGATGACAGCTAGAAGTAGTCAATGTGAACTATCATGAACTGCACGTGCATTTACCTTTATGACCCAACACTGCCGCTGTTACAGGTCATTGGATCCCTCCCTCTGCAAGCAGTCTGCGGTCTGCTGTTTATTTTGTTGACAGTTACATAGACAGATTCTTTAATACAAATGCATAAAATCGATGATTTACAATGTGATTAGGTTGTCTGACAAAACATCCACTTGCACAGTTTGAGATCGATGGGTCATTGGATGAAGAGATATTTACAAAAAAACGGATCCACATGCATTTCATGCCAAACTATAGGTTTAGTTAGCGTGTATCTTGATGTAGCATGGACTGTTGATAGCGGCAGTTGGCATGATCGTTGCTCTTTGGTTGTCAGTGTTTCTTTGTCTGTTGTTTAACGCCGCACTCAGCAATATTCCAGCTATATGACGGCGGTCTGTAAATAATCGAGTCTGGCCCAGACAGCCAGTGATCAACAGCATGGGCATCGATCTACGCAGTTGGGAACCGATGACATGTGTCAACCAAGCCAGTGAGCCTGACCTCCTGTTAGTCGTTTATTACAACAAGCATGGGTTGCTGAAGACCAATTCAAACCCGGATCTTTACGGGTTTGTTTTCTGTGATCCAATTGTCTAACCACTATTTTGCCCTTTCGTCTAGTCTAATCTGCTTCGGCAGAAAATCGAGACTGGTTATTCTCTGTCGTTGACACAGTCGGATACGCCGGCCCAGGAATGCAGGACTACAACAGTCCAGTCAAAGACCACTTGCTGGCAGCGTCAGATCCCAAACCACGGGACCTGTATCGGACATGGGACGCGTTGAAGAGACTTCCTAATTGTTCAAAATGATATCCGTTGAAATTTTTCTATCTTGATATGTATCACGTGTTCCCGTCTTTGTCCAGGTGACAGTTGCTTTGCCTTTGGATATGTGTATGGCGGGTGCACCTAATGGGACAGAAAGCGCTAGTACCATTGCTGTTTGGCAGTACTCCGTAAACACAAGCTCAGGATATAGTCTGACTGACTCTGTTCTTATAATTATTGGAGTGAATGTTGTATCCTCTATTTCTATGGTGCCGACAAACCAAGAATCACGATCAGGGCCAATACAGGAAAGGAGACCACGACTCCATTAGTTGGCACCATGCTTTCAGAAGAATGTTTTACCAAAGTGGTAAAAATCCCCATAACGTCGGTGGAGCTTAGCTAACGCTCAGTCATATAACACAAAACGTTCATTGCCATATTTTGTCATATTCAGGTGATAGTTGCCTTGCCTTTGCATGTGTGTGTGGCGGGTGCACCTGATGGGACAGGATGCGCTCTGCTCAACGCGAACACCTGGTGTCCTCACTCTTTGGTAGAGATTCATAAACACAATCTCATATATAGTCTCAGTCGTTCTCTGTACGTTTGATTATGAAAGTGGCCTTGTCCTCTCTATTTGTCCTCTGACAAACTAAGAATCATGATCAGGGCAAATAGAGGAACGAGGACCACGATTCCATTTGTTGGCACCATGGTCTCACTAGAATGTTTCATCAGAGTAATGAAAACCCCTAACACCTAGCTAACACGTAGCCATATAACACAAAATGTTCACAGCGATGTTGAATGAACACTTGGTTCAATTTACTGTAAACCACGGTTATACCGAACTCAAACGGGCCTAGATTTCAGTTTGCTATAACCGCAGTTCGTTACTAAAATACAGTCGAGCACCGTTGTCCATCCTCGATAATCTCCAGGGTATACGTTACGATAACTCTCCACTTGATAATCTCCACTTATACCCTGGATAATATAGTGGAGAGTTATCGTAACGTATACCCTGCATAATATAGTGGAGAGTTATCGTAACGTATACCCTGGATAATATAGTGGAGAGTTATCGTAACGTATACCCTGCATGATATAGTGGAGATTTATCGTAACGTATACACTATATAGTGGAGAGTTATCGTAACGTATACACTATATAGTGGAGAGTTATCGTAACGTATACCCTGGAGATTATCGAGGATGCTTTGTGTCGAACTCTGATAACTCGATATCTCGGTTGTCTCGATATAACATCTCGGTCCTGGCAAAATCCATCATAATTTATCATCATTAAAGCTCTTTTAACTCGATACAGATGTCTCGATATTTCGGATATCTCGATATAATTTCATGGTCCCAACAAGCAAAACTACCCTTTTAACTCGATATTTGCAAAGAAACTCGATATTCACCTACCTTTTTATGGGCAGCACGTGGCTGGGACTAATCTTTGAAGGACAGTAAAAATTAAATACGTTTTAAGCATGTTCGTTATAAAGGTGTACTGTAGAACTGTCCGTTTGTATTTTCTATTTACTTCCCATAATACTTCTGTTCGTTTTAGCTAAACATATGTACTTGAAGATGTTAGATGTATAAAAAGCTTGCAAGTGCAACGACGAAAAGAAACCACTTCTAATCAATCATTTATAAATATCTGATGATATTCATTCCGTTATTACAAAGGTTTCCGAAACTTTTATATCTGACATTCAGGCATAGCCACATGCTCACAAGCCATTCATCCTCTGTAGTTCTTTAAATATTTATGTTGTTCGGCCGAAATTTGTTCGTTGCCATTTATATTAATGTACATTATCTATTTCTGGAACAATATCCTGTTGTGAAGATGTGTTTAGTAGTAATTTGCCCTTTGTTGAAAATAAAATATGTAAAATAAAGTTTTATTGATGGTTTCCACGAATATAAATATATCTACCTCACATTACAAACGTTTTTTATAATAGCTAAATTTGTCTATAATAGCAACCCAAACAAGGCTTTAAATATACTTTAATAACATTATCCATCAACTGCAACTTGACACTCATTGCATTGGTTATATGTACTTCAGTTTCAACCGCCCGACAGCTCACTGCGATCACGGAAGTAGAATCAATTTAGGTTAACATTCAGGCCGTAAAACCAGGAACCTGAAGGAAGTGCAATGCCATGTTTGTTCTGCTTAGGAACACTGACATTGTGATGCTATCTTTTCAAGACACGTTGCCATGGTGATGGTCACTCATTCGGGTGCGTCTTGTGGATGGAATTAAGGACCGTCAGCTTGCACAGAATGACCACATGGACGGGATGGATATGCAGCGTCTGACGACATCACATGGGTAAGTTTGATTTTCGTTTCAAATTTGCTTGAGTAGGAGAAATTTATTCTCTTAATCAAATAAAATATTGTCTCACGTTACCTTAAAGACGTACCAAGAAAATAGTTTGAAACATTGTTTCATGACAGTAGTAAAACAGATTTGTGTTGTTTAAGGGCCTATTCCATTATGCTAAACCGGTTTTAGTTTCTGGAAAACCATGCACTCGATTATGTCGAAACCTAAAACTGGGTTCTGAAACTTCGAAACCATCCCCGAGGCAGGTTTCGCAGTTTCGGTTTCGCGTTCCCTCACAACAAAGATGGTGGAAACGAAGTTCAGCTGATCGTGGTGGCAAAATAGAGCAGCAGTTTCTGTAACCAAAACAATAATGAAAATCAAATGAAAACTAGGAAAATATTATTTAGAACCGCAATCTATTGAACATGACTATTTTATGTAACTTGTATACATATAATTGCCTGTTACAGTATAATTACATATACGCAAATATTTACTTCCAAAAGCATCTCATCTCTTTATTATTTGTTCATTCCCCGATAAAATGTCAAAAAATATTACCTTCGCCAATGCTGTCATCCACTTCCTTCCACATATATAGTAGCTGAGACATTTGTTTGTATCCATTTTGAAACCGGATGGTGAAACCATCCACTCGTTTATAAAACTAGAAACTAGTTTTACTTTGAAACCATGTATCCGAAACTGGACACTCGTTTATAACAAGAGAAACCAATTTCAGAAGCCAAACCCAGTTTCGCAATAATCAAACAGGCCCTTAGATATAAATGCATTCGGAACACACCACTGGCGGGAAACATCACCACGAATCGTTATTACAGCATTTGTTTATGTTCAAATTGATAATGGTCTGCTCTCAGCTGTTGCTAGTGTTCAGTGTGAGTCGCTCAGTTTCTTCAAATTACTTTGTCTCTCTGCATTCACATGTGTGTGTGTCTGTGGTATACAACTACAGTTATGTCCACTCCATACTGATCTGTGTCTATATTTGGCGAGTCTAGATTGCCACAGTCTCAGGAAATGAAGAAAGTCTTTGGATTCCTTAGTATTATATTTATTAATATGATTTAGGGGTCATTATAAAAAATAATTATGTTAATTTCACTTAGTCTACTGTTTTGTTTTTTAGTAAGATGACAACAATGAGAATGATTCGACTCGGTCATTTTGAATTTATTCGAAGAATTCATTCATTGACCATTAATTGATTCAGTCCGTCATTGGCACGTGTTGTATTCAATCATTGGGAGTTTATTCTATTCAATACTTGAGAATGTTTTAGATTCAATCTTTTATGGTATGGGTATTTCACTCGTCGAGAGTTAAATTTATTAGACTCAATCTTTGAGGGTCTATTGGATTCAAATATCGAAAACTACAAAACTGAATGTCGGTCTGCAAAGTTTACCACTCTTAAGACACAGCAGGAATTATTCTCAAGAAATATTCACAGGAACGAATAATTCATTGATATGAGTGTATGTTTGTGCCTCTCGAGATTCCTTGAAAAAAAATCCAATTATTTACTGTTAGTCTTTAATCTGACATCTAATCATGATATCACTGGGAGGGCTCCATGCAGTGATTTAGATGTCACATTAGAAACACTCACATACCAGGCCGGCACAGCAGTGTGAACATCCAACTCATTCTGTGAAATGTCACGACCGACATAATTCACTGCAATATTTAACTGTACGTAACTGCCCTGTGATCTGTATATCTGATGTCAATGTAAAGAGCGCAACCATGGACCACAACACGTCTCGACGGGAAGTTGATGGAGAGTAGTGTCCCATGGGTGTGCCAGAATACTATGATCATGGGCGTGAGTCACAGATTTTACCTGATTGTGTGCCATATGGTTTGACAGATTAGGTAACTGTCTAACACTGGGCTTACGATCGGGGTTCGTGCGACATTTAAGCGCAACACCGTGATATAACTGAAATATGCATTAACATAATTTGTTATCGCAAACCCGTCCGGTAGGCAAATTAAAATAACGCTGTCCCAAAAAGAATACTTATACATATTAGACGAATATATTCTAATGACGAAAGATTAAATGGTTGTATTTTAATTCAGACCGCAAAAGTGCGTACCTAAGAACTAAACTGGGTTCCCGTCTCCCTTTGCGCGTCGTCTACTTGCGCCAAAGCGAGGAGCTAAACTGGTTCCTGGCTCCCCTGCGTGTCGTCAACTTGCGACATGAGAGGTGGAGCAAAACTTAAAGGTCACATGCAACGTAAAACACGACTTTGCAGATTCTGATACCTTTCGGTATGGACTTACCGAAACAAATCATCAAAAATGCAAATTCAACTTATAAAGTTGAAAAATAACGCGATGAAAAAAAACCGCGCGAAATCGTAGTTCAAACGAATCGCTAATTTTCCCCCAGCGTTTGGGGGGAATTCAAGTGGTTTCAACAGCTGGGCTGCGCTCATAGCACGTGCGCAGTGAAATAGGTTCGCGCAACTTGGCGGCGGGTTGTCCGCTGAATACTCGGTGAAGGCTTTGGTGTGAGCTATTTTTCTAATGTTTTGTTGATATCTCACAGGCGCGAGCTTTTTATATGTTATGACAGTAAATTAACTGTTTATATAATTTCATTTGTCTATTTCACCACACGTTCTTCTTACCGAGTCACTTTCTCAGTTCGATACTTAAAAGCAATGTCATTATTTAGCGTTGACAGAATTTCTAACTGTGATATAGATATGTCGTTGTCACAGAGAAAACTCAATGTCTGTTTTATTGACACCTGTGTGTCTGCCTGCCTGTCTGCTAATGACAATATTCAATACACAACTGCGATCACTGACCACATGCAATTTGAATGTAACACCAATCAGGCTATACACCATAAACAAAATGCATTGATTTATGGCCCGAGTTCGGTCTCTGTCACATTATGTAATTACACAGACGGGCAGTTGTGATACTTGAACACATGACATGTTATGATGTCTGTTGATTGCAAAATGTTATACACAAAAAATGAGCATGTATTTACAAAACCCAACATCTCTATATATATACACACACAATGAGCCGTGAGGGCATCTGCAAATGAACCAGCCGTTACACTTGAGTGCACACCCACCCGCTCTGACTGGGTTCTGTATCCCGGCTGCTTCGTTTCTTGGGAAGTAAACCCAAGTAACAATATTGCACTTTTGATTTGCGATTATACGCTTATAATTTTGTTTATATGTTTTTTCATAACCAGCAATGTATATTATATGTCATGAATAAGTGATAATAGTGTTTTAATTATGTTTGATTTTTTGGTTGCATGTGACCTTTAAGAACTGGACATTGCGTGGGGCGTTACATTGTTTCAACGAAGTCAGCACTAAACTAAGTGATTGTCCTGGCGTTAGAACATTGCATCGCCTCATAATGACCACCGATGACCGAGAGTAAAATATCCCTGCACATTCGTATCTTACATTTAATTATAACAATAAACTTCGGCGAGCCTTGTACTTGTTATATTTGATATTCATCATACGGGGAAACAATTCATTTATCATTTTACCAACACCACCACGCTTTAAGAAAGGTTATTCGTTATTTACTCATTTTGTCAAAGTAAATTGGAGACACGCCACAGTGTGGGTCGACAATGTCCCTTCCAAGATTCCATAGTTTCGAATGAAATTCACGCTTATCATATGAGCGCCGGAACTCCTAAACAAAAACCGTTGGGTCTTTGAATGGCATTTAGAAGTGATACACATGAGGAAGAGAGTTTTTCTGGATGTCAACTTCTTTGTTATGAGGAACACAACGTTTCGGAGTATATCCTTACTCCTTCATCAGGTGAGTGAATAGTTTGAGGCAGAGAGCATATATATGTACATGTAAGAATATCAAAAGTAAAAAAGCCTTAATCTTTGTTGTCTTATTACTTTTGTTGTTCTTACATGTACATATATATACTCTCCCCAAAAAGAAACGCATCATGAAAATATCAATTTCATGTAGCAATGAATTAAAACGATTCATTTTGCAAAAGATTTTGCTCTGTTTATGAGTCCTATGGTGTTTATGTTTTGAAACATCACAACAAAACGCACCATCCGTAAAATACCCGTATGTCCACGGTGGTCACACGAGGTATTGACTTCAGCGCCACCACACGTCTCCATGTGACACTCAAACTGACTTTCCTCGAGTTGGTGCCGACGAGTAAGTCTGCATTCCCAGTGTGCAGTTTCGCTATATTTCATTGACTCATAAAGCCTACAAGATGTTTCAAAATAAACATAAAAATACAGTTGAAATTCCTGTATACGTTTCTTTTTTGGGAGAGTATATATTATCTGTCTCTTACCATTCATTCACCTGATCAAGGAGTAAGGATATAATCCGAAACGGTGTGTCCCTCTTAATAAAGAAGTTGACATCCATAAAAATTCTCTTTCTTTAAAAATGTTGCTCTCGTAAAAGAAATATGCCAAGACATTGTCCAACAGAGGAGGGCTCCGAAAAGGATAGTAATATATTGTCCTATAAATAAGTGTTTTATATGTTTTACTTCACTTTAAATGATATTAAAATAATGTAACCAACCGTGGTTCTTACTTTCAGTACACGGACCTAACGTTTTGGGCCCTCATGTACAAACCGATCTTAGCGATACGACTATTGTAAGATTGTGTTTTGGGAGATAAGAACACCTTAGCGCAAAGATAGCTTTGGGCAATGAGCCCCTCTCTTAGATACTGACGTTCTGTTTTTTTATCATCAAAATCCCTTTTTTGGTGTTCTTTTTGTTTACTGTCGGTAATATCTGCTTAGTATATCAGGTAAGTGGCAAATTGGATCAGGAAATAATCGTTCTGTGTTTTCAAATTTGACTGACTGACTGACTGAGTTTGGTTTTACGCCGCTTTTAGCAATATTCCAGCAATATCACGGCGGGGGGACACCAGAAATGGGCTTCACTCATTGTACCCATCTTGGAA